GCCCTGGGAGAAATCTGCTTAAGGCAAATGCCAATGGGAGCCAACCTTATGAGGACATCCAATTATGTTTTCAGGGGCAATGCCTATATAGCAGCCAATTCCTTGGGACCTCCAGTGACATCTGGGAATAGTGCTTTGGGACCAAGAGGATTGATGGCGTGGATGGGTTTCTCTTTAAATCCATTACAAAAGAATAGGGAAGTGATCAGATGCTGGAGAGAGATAGGCTGCAACACAACTATGCCTTATAATTAGGATCAATGTACTGGGATTTGGGTGCAGGCAGGGTTAGGGAGTTATTAAAGTTGCCTTTTGAAAAGCTGCAAACCCACTTTCAGAACCTGAGGGTCAAAAAACCTGGGATGTAAAAATAAACCAAACAACAAATCGATAAATAAATTGGTGCTTTCACAACACGTTGCTGGATGAGAGATACCAGGGCAGGTTTCAAGTGACTTTCAGGTGGAAGCATGTTCTAGTGAAAGATGGGCTTTAAATGGAGGCATCGATAATGTTTGCAAGGCACAGTCCCTGGAAGGAAGGAGCTGTGGGGGCTCCGTGACATCAGCCTCCAAGGAAAGCTGAAATTTAGAAGCTCCCAAAATTCTTTTCTGCACCAACTGAAATCCTTGGGGCAAGGAGTGTATGTCTTTGCCCACCTCTGTATCAGCTGCTTTCTAACCTCTTTAAATTTCCAGCCTTAGAACAAATCAATCAATCAATTCAACAAGCAGCTAGGATTAGCTCAGAAATAACCAGAGCTATTTCTTGATTTGGGGAGCAAGTCACTTGACTTATTTCTGAACCAATCCAGCACATGCCATGGGAAGGGCAGCTGCCACAACTAGTTAAGTCACTCTTGAAACATAACATTACAACAACAACAATAGCAGCAGCAACAACAACAATAATAACAAGCGCCACTCACCTGGTCTCCAGGATGACCCGGTGGTCCTGGATATCCTTTCTGTCCCTGTTCAAAAGAATAAAAATTCAGGTAAATTGGTTTTGTGGAAAGGTCTTTTTAAAATGCTAAAAGAATCATCAGGCATGGATCAATGCATATGTGCAAGGAGAACTAGGGTTTGTATCCTGTAGCCCTTTAAAATCTGTTGGTCAGCAAAACCCATCAGCCGCAGCCAATGTGGCCAATGGTCAATGGTGGTGGGAGTTGCGATCTAACAACATCTGGATCTAGACATTCCTAAAGTAGGCACATTGTGGGATGAGAGTGGGGGAGACTAACCCTTGACACATTTCATGGTTCATATGCAGTAGCTTGCTGCGCACCAGGGATGGGCTGTAGGTTTTGTTTTCTGCAATTTTGCCACTCCTTTCCCAGCATTGCTCTTCCCCTCCATCTTTGCCTCAACTGGATTATTTCCTGGTGGGGGACAACCAGGCATTAGGCAAGTTGGGTAGGTATTCCCCATGGTCTTTCCCACCATGAGCCTCTTCCAATAGAACTGAAATGACAGGCGAAAAACAAGAGTCTGAGTTTGCTCGCCTCTACAGGTGTTTCTGGGTGATCCCGGGGCCTTAAATCACAACTGGGGTCATCAGCTGAAGTGGAAGTCTCCTGCCACTTTTGTAATGAGGGCCCAAGTCAACTCCAGAGGCAGCCCTAATCCAGCCCATCAACCCTCAGAGTGGCAGTCCGGCAGGCTTTGCAGAGCAAATGGGGACAGTTGGTGAAAGGGAGGGTGGTGCAGATAGTGACTCCCGTCTGCAGGCCATGCATGAAAGGCAACCACCAACTGCATCCCTATTTAATGGGGAGCTGCAAACCATCCAGTGGCTGTTCGGGGTACAAAAAGTACTTTGCCGTTCTGACAGCACAGAAGGGATCAGAGATGGCAAAAACCACATACAGTGGTACCTCCGGTTACAAACTTAATTCATTCCGGAGGTCCATTCTTAAGCCAAAACTGCTTGTAACATGAGGCGTGCTTTTGCTAATGGCGCCTTCCGCTGCTGCCAGCATGCAACTTCCGCTAGCATCCCGAGGCAAAGTTCGCAACCGGGAGCATCTTACTTCCGTGTTAGCAGAGCTCATAACCTGAAGCGTTCGCAAGGAGGACGGTACGTAACACGAGGTTCCCCTGTACAAGCCTGCCACACACTCTTGTAGCCAGAGAATCCTATTTTATAATGTATTTTAAAATACTTTCTGGCTGCACTTAAGGGCAAAGCACTCTCTCAAAGGTGGCTTACAGAAGAAAAACACAGTGCAAATCACAAATCTCTCTCTCTCCACATACACTGTATTAAAGAAGAAGCTGAAATTTATTTATTTATTTTTAAACCACCCACCCAAGGCCAGTAGAGATTTACAATCCAGAAATGTCAACAATCCTGTAAAACCATCTCCCCCTGGAAAGAAAAGAAAAGAAAAGAAAACCTCAGGAAAAAGCCAGTGAAAACAGGTGGGTCTCTTATCCTACAAGTCCGCGGTGATGATGGGGCTTGATGGATTTGACCTGCAGAAAATGTCTTCTCACCCTCACCGACTTGATTACTCCTTGAGGTGGACACTTCATAAAGGCCTTGTTTGCTGACCTTAGCGTGTGGGCAGGTTGGTATTGGAAAAGGTAGTCCTTCAAGTATATCAGATTCCCTTATGAAGAGAACCTGAGGCTATTCTGATCCAGCACTCACACTGTGAGTCATTTGCTGGAAGCCACAGGTGGGGAGAAGCCTCTTGTGCTCAAACCCTACTTGCCGGTTCCCTGTGGGAAACTGTGAGAACAGGATGTTGGACCAGATGGGCCACTGGTCTGATCCAGCAGGCTCTTCTTATGTTCTTATTTGACCACCGTGGAGGTGCCCCAAATCAATCCTGTGCAGATAGAAAGCCATGCCTTCCTTGATCCTCCCCATCTATAGATTCTTGACCCGCCTTCCTGTCTCCTATTGCCTCTTCTATGCCTTATGCAGCTGCTGTACAGCCTCTTCCTATGAAAATAAACCACGGCCAAAGATAACTGGCCACAATAACTGCCTCTGTTCTGAACTAAGATGAATCTACCACCACATGCCAGCTTCGGAGCTCCATATTCAAGTGCAGGGGCCGGGAAACTTTTTCAGATGAAGGGCCACATTCCCTTCTGGGGGCCAGTGGTGGGCAGGGCCAGAAGCAAAGGTGTGTGAGGCACAGAATGCTAAGATTTGTACAGTGAACTAATTTTACTCCACACACCCCTCTCTATCCTCCATCTAGGCAAGCGAGAGGCATAGTCAGAGTTCCCAGACACATTGCAGCCAGGCCAGAACACTCAAGGGCAGTCCACAGCAGAGCCAGAAAGGGGTGTGGCCTGGAAAGAAGTGCTTTGGGGGGCCAGTGATCTTGTGTGGCACCCCAAAATGCACATCTATGGGTGCCATGCCTTTAAGAGGTACAGCCCGAAAATACAAGAGCTTGCGTCGGCCACTTTGGCCTCTGTCCTCTTGCAAGAAAACACAAGATGTCCCTTTTTTTCCAGGGCAGCTGACAAGTATAGGGTCACGTTCATCTACTGATTCAAAGCTGAAAATCCTTTTTCAAAAAAGAAAGAAAAAACTAACCAACACCAAACCACCAAATTTATGGTCTATTAGCATGATCTGGGGGGGAAATGCTGCCCAGAGAAAGCAAGATTTGGTCTCCCATGGGAAAATGTCTCTCAGTTGTTTGGTCAGCAGTTACATATACCTTGTAAAAGGGGGCAGAAGGCATTGTGGGTAAAAAATTAAAAAACAAGGCGACCAGGGTAGGAACAGCCAAACTCTAGGCTTAGATCAGGGGTGGCCAAGGTAATGCCTTCCAGAAGTTTTGGACTGCAGCTCCCATCAATCCTTGTGACCGTTGGCCAAGCTAGCTGGGACTGATGGGTGTTGTAGTCCAACAACATCTGAATGACACCATTTTGGTTACCCCTGATTTGAAGAACCTCAGACCTGTTCACAAGTCAAACGATAACATAATGCAAGGCTATAAAATTATATTCAAGATTAAAAAGAACAGTGGGTTAAAATAATCTGAGCCTAACCGACAGTAACATTTTCAATATGTGACAAAACTAAACTATCTTCTTCTTCTTTGGCGATCACTCATAGCCAAGTAAGCTTGTCTTCCATAAACACGGTTTTAAGAATGAGTACGTAAGTGATTGTGGATGCCAATTCTGGATCCACACATCTTTCCACAGTGGGAACATTGTTTTCTGGGCGGGAGTTGATCACGGTGTGGATTTGCTAAGCGTGTCTTCCTCTTAGCACGTTTCTCCCTTACGTCCTGAGTTTGAGTGTCTTCAAAGCCCATGACACCTTTGGTAAAGGCTGTTCTCCAATTGGAGCGCTTGCAGGCCAGTGTTTCCCAGTTGCCAGTGTTTAGACTACATTTTTTTAGATTTGCCTTGAGACAGTCTTTAAACCTCTTTTGTTGACCACCAGCATTACACTTTCCATTTTTAAGATCGGAATAGAGTAGTTGCTTTGGAAGACGATCATCAGGCATCCACACATGTCCAGTCCAACAAAGTTGATGTTGAAGAATCATTGCTTCAACACTGGTGATCTTTGCTTCTTCCAGTACCCTGGTATTAGTTCACCTGTCTTCCCAAGTGATGCGTAAAAATTTTTGGAGCCACCGTTGATGGAATCTTTCGAGGAGTTGGAGATGGCATTTATAAGTTGTCCATGTTTCACAAGCATACAGTAAGGTTGGTAGGACAATAGCTTTGTAAACAAGCATTTTGGTTTCCCTGCATCTGCCACCAGCACAGCGACATCCACACTAAGGGGCAGCAGATCTCCAGGGTTTCAGGCAGGGAATCTTTCCCAGCCTTGCCCGGAGATGCCAAGGATTGAACCTGCGACCTTCTTCGTGCTTAGCATGTGCTGATTCTCTTAAGATCATTGGAGCCTGCTTTGCACCAGGTCATAACACTGGCGCCTCCATCTAGCTCAGAATCAGCTGCACTGACTAGCTGCTGCTCTCCAGGATTTCTGACAGCCCTACCTGGAGCTGACAGGAATTGAACCAGCAACCTTCTGCATGCAAAGCAGATGCTTTGCCCCTGAGCTACAGTGCCAACCCCTGACGCCAGCTCAGCTGCTAGTTATAACGGTTCTCTCCAAACTTCTCTATGGGCCATTAGGTCTTTCTTTATCCCTCCACTGGTCTTCTCTCTCTTCCTCCCTCTCTTTTTAAAGTTTCACTCAAACTGGCTTCCAGGATATTGGCTGTTCTCCTAAAAGCACGCTGGCAAACAGAGCAGCTTGTCTACAGCCCAAGGTGTTTTCAGTGGGGTTTTGCCAACAGAGGATCTACAGCCTTATTTTTTATTTTCCAAATATTTTTCCAACAGCGCTCGCGCTCTCTCTCTCTATATATATATTTAGGAGGCCAGTAAAGCACAGCCTCCATCAAAAGCATTTGTTGGGAAACTTCTCTTGTCCCCATCCCAAGTCTGTTTGTCTTTTTTTCTCTTCTTTAACCTATGCACTGGCTTGTGTTTCTACCTGAAAAGGATTCTATGTTCTGCCTTTTAAAGTTGGGCAAGTGTTTCACTGTACTTGTGCCAACGGTCCTGACATAACACTGGAACCACAGGAGTTCCACACACAAACCCCTTATTGTCTGCTTGCATTTGCTTTACCAAATCTTTGCCTTCTTTTTAAACTCTCCTCATAATTCTCTCCTCTGGGTCCTGCCTAGTTGGCATTGGTTCATGGCAGAGCCTCCTCTGTGGTGGTGCCCCATTTGTGGAACACCCTCCAGGATGAACTGTGTCTGTCTCCCTCATTACTGGCATTCAAAAGGGATTTAGAAAGTATTCCTGTTTCTCCCAGGCATTTGTTGGCTGAAAGGTACCTTGAGGCTATTGGCTGTGAGAATATGCAATTGCTTTACATGTTTTTAGATGCTTTTAGATGTGTTAAGTAATTTTTTTATTTTTTAAATTGTATTGCTTTATCAATGATGAATTTGCCAAGCTGCATTCCGTTGGGAGGAAGAGAGGGATATAAAGGTAGCAAGTAAATAAAATTGGGGAAAGAATTCCATTTTCTGAAGAAAGCCTTCTTGTCTCTTACAGAGAGACCTTGTTGCTGCTCATTAGCCATGCTGTTTACAGCTTCTTGCTTGTAGCTAAGAAGTTCATGAAAATAAAAGAAAAATCCCAGAGCCTCCAAGGGTCCCTATTTTCCAGAGACAGTCCCAGATTTAAAGAAGCTGTCCTGGTTTGTGATTTGATCCCTGAATGTCCAGCTTTGCCTCATGACATCCCTATTTTCATCAGGGAAAAGTTGGAGGATACGGTACGGCGTCCCTATTTTCATCAGAGAAGTGTTGGAGGGTCTGGAGTTATGCGACCCCCGAGCCAGAGAGATAAGTAACTATATAACGTTTAGTGAAGTTTTTTTAATGTTTAATGTTTATTATGTTTTTTATATGTTGGAAACTGCCCAGAGTGACTGGGGCAACCCAGTCACGTGGGCAGGGTATAAATAATAACAGTTGTTGTTGTTGTTATTGGAATGTCCCTATTTTCACTGGAGAAATGGTAGAGGGTATGCAGTCTAAGGGAAGCGGGTGGCGCTGTGGGTTAAACCACAGAGCCTAGGACTTGCTGATCAGAAGGTCGGCGGTTCGAATCCCCGCGACGGGGTGAGCTCCCATTGCTCGGTCCCTGCTCCTGCCAACCTAGCAGTTCAAAAGCGCATCAAAGTACAAGTAGATAAATAGGTACCGCTCCGGCGGGAAGGTAAACGGTGTTTCTCTGCACTGCTCTGGTTCGCCAGAAGCGGCTTAGTCATGCTGGCCACATGACCCGGAAGCTGTACGCCGGCTCCCTCGGCCAATAAAGCGAGATGAGCGTCGCAGCCCCAGAGTCAGTCACGACTGGACCTAATGGTCAGGGGTCCCTTTACCTTATGCAGTCTAAGTGGGCCGCAGTAGTTCAATCTGCTCATGAGAACGTTATCTCTTAAAAACACATGTGCAGGACAAACCCCAACAGAAGAGAGTGATTTGCAACAGATAAATTGCAGCGGGGAGGGGGGGATGCCTTAACCCACTCCCTGCCTGTTTCTGCTCTCCAAATAGCAGCCACAAACAATGTTTGGAGAAAGGGTGGGGCAGAGGAAGGTCAGGTGGTACCCGGTGTGGAAAATTTCTTGTCACCCCCCGACACATTGATTTTTATTTTTATTTTTGCTTGCAAAAATGGTTTTACGTTATTTCATATTTTCTTACCATGGAATGTGGATTCTGAGCCTATGATAACAAGTATGGACAGATACTTAAATCTACAGGATGGACTGTGTTTTGGCTTGTGTTATTTTATTTATATTTATTGTTTATTTATTTAATACAATTTATCTAAAAAAAACCCCTGCAAATTGGTTTACCAAAACAAAAACAAAAAAACCCACAGCAGTAAAATCAAGAAAAATTAACAATCCTACTTTAAAACATACAAAAGCGAAAATATTAAGATTAAAAATACTTCAACTTCCTAAGCATCTAGGTATGCTTGCCTAAAGAAGAATGCTTTTAGCAGGTGCCTGAAAAAGTCTAGCAAAGGCATGTGCTTTGTTGAAATTTCAGCCTTCACGACATGGGAAAACGGCCAAATAAACAGCTATTTTCGTGAAGGAGGGTCAAGATATTAACTGATATGCATGAAATTTCATATGTAGCTATATAATCCCTAGTGTAGTAAGATAAGACCTATGGAGCAGGCATTTTCAAAAAAAAGTTTTTTATGAACCACCCTAGTAGGGCAGTAATTGTTCCTTGATAATTTGTCACCCCCCTCCATGATGGCACCTGGGGCGACCCGCCCCCCTGCCCCCCTTTCCTACGCCCCTGGGGTGGGGTACTAACTCGTGTGTGTGTGTGTGTGTGTGCATACACTCCCATTGTCACTTCTCAAATACACATTTGCCCTTGCCATAGAAGCCAATTCCTAGGGGCTATGGAGATTTCGGCCCCCACAATAAAATATTTGAGGAGACCAGGTCCCCACAAAGTTTATGGGTATTCCCATTCAAATGGTGTGTGCGCACTGCATCATGTGATTGATTATGCGAAGCAGGGCTTACCTGGGCCACCACAATATTTTATTCAAGTTGGCACCCCTGGTCCTTACAGATATTACAAGTTTTACTCAGAACAGACCCATTGAAATCAATGTTTAATGTTTTATTATGCTTTTATATATGTTGGAAGCCACCCAGAGTGGCTGAGGCAATACAGTCAGTTGGGGGGGGGTATAAATAGTAAAATTATTATTATTAATAATATTATTATTATGGAATAGGAAGTCCCTATTTTCATCGGAGAAATGTTGGAAAGCATGGAGTTACTGGATGTGAATCCTCTGACTGCACACCCACATTCCTATTCCTATTGGGGGGGGGGGAATCCTTAAAAGATTAGCATAAATTGTCCAACAGCAAGAACAACAAAGAATCCAGCCTCTCCTACAAGGGCGTAAACACCCCAAAATGCTAACAAAGAATAAAGGCAGAATCCATAGAATTGTAGAGTTGGAAGGTACCCCCAAGGCCATCTAGTCCAACCTCCCGCAACAGGAGTCGCTGCTGAGGCATTCCTGACAGGTGGCCATCCAATCTCTCTAAGGAAATCCGTTCCACTGTCAAACAGCTCTTGCTGTCAGAACGCTCTTCCTGATGTTTAGTTGGAATCTCCTTTCTTGTAATTTGAAGCCACTGGTTTGGATCCTACCCTCTGGAGCAGGAGAAAACAAGCTTGCTTCATCCTCTACATGACAGCCCTTAAGATATTTGAAAGATGGCTATCATATCTCCCATCAGTCTCCTTGTTTCCAGGCTAAACATAGCCAGTTCCTTCAACCGTTCCTCATAAGGCTTGGCTTCCAGATGCTTGATCATCTTGTTCGCTCTCCTCTGCACACATTCCAGCTTGTCAATATTCTTCTTAAATTGTGGCACCCAGAACGGGACACAGTATTCCAGGTGTGGTCTGACCAAGTCGGTGTAGACAACAGAATGGCCACTTTCCTCCAGCTACTTTCTGGCATTTTTGTGGAGAGGAACTTCATACCAAAACATGCCCACCGATTGTGCCCAATATCAAGAATATAAATATCTTACCTTCCTACCAGGTGATCCAGGAAGCCCTGTCAGTCCCGGTAAGCCTACATCACCCTGTAACCAGAAGTATAAATTGCTGTTGTTGTTTGTCTTACCTTCAAAAACACTTCAAATCTTAGTTTTCTTTAAAAAAAAAAAAAGTAAATGCCTAGGCCTCATGGTTGTGAAAGTGAACATGAAGACCATATCCACAATATATATGTAAAGTTTTCTAATCCGACTTGTACAAAATTAAGTGCCTAGTTCTCATGGTTGTAAGGCAATGCTAGGAGATCCCTCACAGAGCAGGGATGGACTCTGGTCTTTCAAATTTCCCCTGCACTGGGGGCCGAGCCAAGAGGAGTGTTGCAGGGCCTTGCACAGGGCACCCCTGCCTTTCACCTTCCATTCTGCGCATGCACGTTATAGTTGCAAAGCCCTGCAACACTCCCCTTGGCTCAGCCCCCAGTGCAGGGAAACCAGTCACCCTCCCCTAAATCCACCTCTGCACAGAGCCATAACTGCTTTCTCTACACTACAGTTCCTAGGATTCTTTGGGGAACTGTGGAGAAGCTATGGCTGTTAAAGTGGGATAAGTTTCACTATAAATGTATGGTGCAGATGTGACCATAATGGTGGTAGGATGCAAAGGAAGAATTCTGCATGCAGAGGTAATTGTAAACTAAGCCAAGAGATTTCCAGGAGAATTCCACCCCATGCCCAACCCAAAATACCGTATTTTTTGCTCTATAAGACTCACTTTTTCCCTCCTAAAAAGTAAGGGGAAATGTGTGTGCATCTTATGGAGCAAATGCAGACTGTGCAGCTATCCCAGAAGCCAGAACAGCAAGAGGGATCACTGCTTTCACTGCGCAGCGATTCCTCTTGCTGTTCTGGCTTCTGGGATTCAGAATATTTTTTTTCTTGTTTTCCTCCTCCAAAAACTAGGTGCGTCTTGTGGTCTGGTGCG